TCCCATACTGAGGGGATCACTCTTGAACCAGAACCACTCGCAGCTATTGAGACACCCAACAGGTTGGCAATAGGCCATGGATGGGCTATTCAAACGTGGAAATGCCCCCCAAATACATGGGTGGCAGATTCAGCAATACTTCAGATCCCCTGGGAACCTCCAAGGCTCCTAATACAGGAAGGAAGACCTCTCAACACCAGGAGGGAAGGGGAGTTGTCACTGGAACCACACCTTAGAGCTTGGGGAAGTCAAAATGCCAACCCTCTTACTCTGTATGTGGGGAAATTGTTCTTGCCTAGAGGATTGCTCACACCAGGAAGAAAACACTGTCCTTCAGGCCCTGGGGTGTGTCTGGTAAAGGCCTAGACAGAAGAGAGGGCCCCAAGAAAGAAGATTATCTAGCACCCGCTCTCTCTACTCCTCACCCTGGACAGCAGAGACTGGACAGGGGGCAAAGAGAAAGAAGTCAGACAGGCCGGCAAAGGAAGGGCTGGCCCATCACACCAGAATGGAAAACAGCTAGAAATGAACACTTTCATGTCTTAATCAGGGTGTCTCTCATGGAGATAGCCTGGGCTATGATCCTAGCTCTGCCACTTGCCAAATTAGTACATTTTGTCATGTTTCTTTTTTTTTGAGTTGGAGTCTCACTCTGTCGCCCAGACGAGTGTAGTGGCCGCTCCCAGCCACCGCAGCCTCGACCCGCTGGGCTCCGGCAATCCTTCCACCTCAGCCTTCCAAGTAGCTGGAATTACAGGCATGCGCTACCACGCCCGGCTGATTTTTTGATTTATTGTAGAGTTGAGGTCTCGCTGCCCAGGCGGGTCTCGAACCCGCGGGCTCAGGCAATCCACTCACCTCAGCCTCCCAAAGGCGCGGGATTACAGGCTGAGCCACCGAGCCCGGCTTGTCATGTTTCTTAATTTCTCTGGGTCTCCTCATATGCAAAATGGAAATAGAAAGAATCTCTCTTATAGGTTTGCTTTGATAAATAAATGGGATAAATTACTACAATGCCTCCAGGTAAAAAGGAAAACTATCAACATACATAGTTGGCCTATGTGAAATTTTTTGTTTCATTTAATGAGAGAAACAGCAAGGAAGATTTCTTAAAAATTGGTGTGAAAATTATTTGAGACTATATATAGAAACAGGAAGGGAATGCCTAAGTAGTAAAATTCTTCAGTTAGATACAAGATTCTTTTGACTTTTAACAGGGTGAAAAAAAACATAACAGTTTTGGGTTTAACATCTTGGTCAGGCTATAAAACCATATTACCTGATCCAACAGGTACAAACTGTCTACTTTGTCTAAATCTGTTGTGAATTGTTAATCAAACATACTTTGTGACTACGTCTCTCAAAAGTGTCAGATGAAGCCAAGTAGCAAGGAGCTGCTTTTATTCAGACTCTAGCATGAACAAAAATACAAGCAATCACCATTTTGGTTTTCATTTTGTTTTATTCCAGTCTTGAGATGACTTTTTTCCCACACTAATGCGCAGCCAATGACCAATAAAGGTTGGTGGCTTTCCCTTCCCCTTTTCAGCCCATTTAAATTTAGACTGAATTCCCCTAATCAAGAAGCCAGAAAATGGACTGGGATCTGGACCAAACTAAAATGGCTCTGGTTTCCAAATGTAGGGACATACATCAGAGTCTTTTCCATTGGAATACGCTCTTGTGCTCAGCTGCTAGAAACCAACTGCCCAATTTCACAGCCTCTCCATGCCCTTCAGGACTTTGTCAGAACCACCAGAAACACAGCTGAAGTCAGGAGCCTTGGGTGGAGAATCTGGAAAGAGAAGCAAGATTTCAGACAGGTCATCCTTATGGGCCCCTGAAATCATAGTGGCCGGATCTGTCTCAATTGATGAGCCAAGGTTTCCTTTGTGGGCTCAAACGTTGCATGAGATTTCCTGCTAAACCACTTGTTTCTCAATTTCCCACTCCCTTGTTCCTTTGTAACTGGGGAAACAGGAAACCAAATCACCTTGACCTAGGCCTTAAGTCCTGTCTGACTCTGCCCAGCGGTTCCCGTAATGGGCATAGTCTTTTTTGTAAATCATCATCTCCAAGCCTCCCTCCTCCAGGAAGCTTCCAAGGACTGCCTCTCTCCCGTTCTTTTCTTCTCCAGGCTGCCAGTGCCAGCTGGGCCACCTGCCCTGACCAACCATGAACTTGAGAACCAACTGTTCATAGCTTGGTGTTGATCCATTTCTTCTCAACCAGTGTCCATCAAGTACAGGGAAACTCTAAAAGGCATTCTGGGCTCCCTTCTCTTTCTGGATGAGCTCAGAGAAAACAGATGTATTGGACTCTCAACTAAAGACAAACAGGATTAATAATAGTAAATCTCTTCCAAAGAATCCATTTATAGAAATCCAACAGTGCATTTTCAAGGAATATCAAAGGCACTGGGATGGTCGATGCCCCCAACCCTGACATACACACACACACACACACACACACACACACACACACACACACACACACCTGACACACACACACACACACACACATCATATCATCACCACCAACGTGGATAACTGATAAGCAGAAATTAGGTGCCCTTGCCTTTTGTATATTTCTTTCCTTTTTTTTTCTGAGTCAGGGTCTCACTCTATTACCTGGAGTAACAGACTGGAGTGCAGTGGCATGATCACGGCTCACTACAGCCTGGAACTCCTCTGTTCAGGTGATCCTTCCTCCTCAGCCTCCCGAGTAGTTTGGACCACAGGCATGCGCCACCCTACTAGGCTAACTTTTTTATTTTTTGTAGGGAGGAGTTCTCACTATGCTGCCCAGGCTGGTCTCGAACTCCTGGGTTCAAGCAATCCTCTCACTTCGGCCTCCCAGAGTGCTGTGATTATAGGCTTGAGCCACTGTGCCTGGCCTGTATATTTCTTTTACTATCTTTTCTCCCATTCTATCTCTCAAATGTCAAGTGAGGCCTGGGGTGTGGCTTGGTGAACCCTGGGACCCCTCCCATCCTTTTTTGCCTGGGCCACGTTTGGAACAGCTGCTCTCCTTTGCTCTGTGTTGTAGGAAAGTATAGCAGGATCCGTGGTGCCTCTCAGATCTGCATTACCCCTTTTCTGCAATGCAGAGCATGTTCCATGCTCCCGACACAGGTGGAAGCACTGGCTTTCAGGAATGCACAAAGATAACCTTCAGCAAAACTGAGAAGGAACCAATTTGATCCCTGGATCTTCCTACTTGCCCCAGCAGAAACCCGTCCCTGTATTCTGATGACTACACTATCCCATCCCATGTTAGGTCCCAGTCTTAACTTTCAGCAGGCTGCCAGCCATTTTCGCTAATATGTTAGCTGATAATAAAACTAGTTGGTAACTAAAGCATTGGTGAATAAGGGCTTAATTGGTGAATAAGGTGTTCCTTCTCCCTGCTCATTTGAATTGTAATGTGATTAAAGCCTACTGCAAACAAAAAGCTCAGTTATCTGAAGTGTGAAATCTTCAAGCCTGAAAACTAGCTAATCCAAGTGATACTTTGTTGGTGAGGGGAGAGGGGTTTGCTCCTTCTAAAATTTTGAGGAATTGGCCACCTTCACTTCTCCTCTTGGGCACGAAGCACGTTTGGCTTTTCCAAACAAACCCTCCCATCCACCATTCCAGAGTTGGGTTCTTCTATTCAGCCCATGCTCCTGGGGTCCCAGACACAATAATCGTCCCAGAGAGGATATAAAGGTCCCTGCTGTGTTTATACCATGGCTCAGGGCCTTGTGCAGTGCAGAGGGACCCTGAGTAGCCTTTGTCTCCCGGGGCACAGTGCATCCTCTGCCTCACAGAGCAGGAAAGCTGTGGAGGGATATGGGCAACAGGGTAGGAACTGATTTAGCCCTTGGTTACCACGGCCCCACAGAGCCCACCAACCCAAAATAACAGCGATAGAAATACTCCCCTTTCATTACTAAAAACCCAAGTATTCTTAACCTTTTTGAGATCTTTGGACACTTTTGAGGATCTGATGAAAGATACAGAGGAATATTCCTGTAAGCATGCCCTTAGAATTATGCACTCCACTTCAATTCATCTTAGGGAGGTATAGACAGACACATTCAGAGTCCTGACTCAGTGATTCTGGTGGCAGCTCCCTATCTTCTTCTCCGTCACTAACACCATTGCCTCAGCACCCAAGTGGGGACAACAGCATACTCCCAAGCCACTGGAAATCCAGTCTGGGGGTGTCAAGTTCTGACCAAAGGCACCTGCTCATTTCCAGCCTTCCCATTTTTCCAGAAAAGTCCATGAATTTATAATTGGGGGGTTATTTTAGATAATTTCATGATCACCAAAACATAGAACCTCACAGGGCAGCATTTGAGTAACCTACTCGTTGACTTGAGTCTTATTAACTTGTGGTCCCATTTGCCCATTCTTTTACTAGTTAGTTGATTGAGAGGTTGGGAGTAGAGAGGGAGGGAAAGGTTTTAAAATTCTCAAGGAAAAATTATCGGTGTGGGCCCAGGGGGCTATCCTATTGTTATTTAATGTAAACTTTGTCAACCCACAGTTACACCACACACTGAATCAGTCTGTCTCTGTCACACACACACACACACACACACACACACACACACACACACACATACTGATATGTAGCTGTCACCCTAATTTCCCAAGAGTCACATCTAAGACATTTAGCTGGAAACTAAAATTTAGCTTATAATGCTGAGGTTGTGAAAACAAAATAAAATTTAGCTTAGATAGCAGTATCAGTTTTCCTTACATCACCCTGTTCCTAAGTCACCCATTTGGGAACTACTAGTAAAATCACCAGCTGTAGTATCATGAACTTTTTAGACTCCTTAAGCCCAGGAACCAATCACTCAGGACAGGGACTGGAAGGGAACAGGACAGGTAAGGCTTGGGAGAGGTGAGGTAGGACAAGGGAGGTTACTTTTTCTTCCTCTGGGTTTTCCAGCCCTCCTTGCACCCCTAGGAACCTCATTCCACAAAAGAAGAGCAAGAGAGGCCTGAGGTATCAATTACTTTATTATCCTGCAGGTACATGTCCAAGGGCCCAGCCCCTAGGCCCAGTAGCTCTGCTACTCTTTGTGGCTGTCTTTGTGGGCTTCCACGCCTATCTTTACCACGAATATGAGGAACTCCTGGAAGTTAATTGCACCATCAGTGTTGACATCCAAATCTTTGAACCAGGACTCTGCATCCTTTCTCTGTCAAAATTGAGAAAGAAGAAACAAGAGTGTAAAGATCTCAGAGAAAGCAGAGGCATGGCTGTCTATAGAAGGCAGCACAGAGGACTAATGACCCAGCACCACCGGAGCCAAGCAAGGATCCCTGACCACAGCCAACTCCTCCTCACCTTTGTGTACTGAGGACACTCGGTTTCTAGCAATTTCTTCAGGTCATCCTTGTAGATGGCATGGTAATTCCCTTTAATCAGGGAATACTTGTGGTAGATGTCGATGACAGAGTTCAAGGACTTCTCCAAATCAGTCGGCATGATGCCAAAGGACTTGCTCCACCTGAAAGAGGGGACCACATGAGAAACCCCATGGCAGGGATTGTGCATCTGCCCAGGGCAGAGTGAAGGCTAAGGGGGCATTCAGGAATGTCATGTCATGCCCCAAGTAATGGCTTTGTTCTGGGCTGCACCATCCAAATAATCAAGCCCAGCTAGGGGCTATGCTTCTAATAGGAAGGGTGGGATGATAGGAAAGCAGTGAGGGAAGGGGTAGCATCCACCCATAACACACACACACACACACACACACACACACACACACACCTACCAGCTCCTCCCAGGGGCTCACCATCTGCCCACCAGCTCCTCCCAGGGGCTCACCATCTGCCCAAGAAGGGCTCATTTAGGACGAATGTGTGCTCACCTACTGGAAAGTGCTAGAGTACTCCACTCCTCCCTTATCCTTGCCTCCCTTTCCACCTCCAAGAACACAGGATCTTTGCTCCAGACCTTCTGAGCTCTCCCTCTCCTCTCTCAGAGAAGGCTGCTCCACTTCCACAATGCCTTCCCCCCAAGGGAAGCCCAAAGTGTGGGGCCAACTCGGACAGTTCCACTTACCAGGTCTCCTGAAAGACAGTTGACAAAGACATGCAGGGCTGAGTGCCTGCTCCCTTTTATAGCGGGTAAGCTTGGCCAACTGCCCACAGCCTCAGGCCATTCAGAGACAGCAGTTCCCTTCCAGAGTTGCCACAGCTTCTGGTTTCCCAACCAGGTGAATGTGGCAATCACCGTACAGGATGAAAATTTCTGATGTGTGAGGAAGGTGGGGGGAGCAGAAAGAGGAAGGTATTTTCTGGGCAGTATCACCCAGTGGGAGAAACCAGGAGGAGCCCATGGTGAGTACTCCCTTTCTGGGCCTCTGGCATTCCTTCCCTTGGTCTAGCCAGACTTCCACCCCCCTCGAGCCCTCTTCACTGTTGCTATCACTAATCCCATGTATGTGTGACCAGTCTATACATCTCTGAAATTGAATTGGAGTTGATTGCATCATTGTGAGTGCATGCATATCAGAACATTCCTCCATGGCTTCCATCAGAGTCTCAAAAGGATCCAAGACCTCAGAAAGTTAAAAACATTTGTCCTGGTTGCTGGTTTTTAACAATAAAAGATGGAGTATTTCTATTGCTGTTTTGGGTGAGTGAGCTCTGTGGGGACATGTTCACCAAGGGCTAAATCAGTTCCTACCCTGTTCCCCACACCCCTCCTCAGCTCTCCTGCTCTGTGTAACTGGGGGTACGCTGTGCCCAAGGAGATGAAGACTGTTCAGGGTCCCTCTGCACTGCACAAGGTCCCAAGCCACTGCGTGAACACAGTGGGAGCCCTTCCACCCTCTCTAGGATGATTATTGTGTCTGGAACTCCGGGAGCATGGGCTGAAGAGAGGAACCCAACTCTGGGGTGGTGGTGGTGGTATTCTTTGGAGAAGTCAGACATGCTTCATGCCCAAGAGGAGAAAAGGAAGTAGCCAATTCCCCAGTATTTCAGGAGGTTCAAGTCCCTCTCCCCAACTAACAGAATGACACTCAGATTAAATGGCTTCCAACCCTGAAGATTTTTGGTGTATTTTTTGTGTTACAAAGAAAAAATGTGTAAACCATATATCTAATAAGGGATTAATATTCAGGATATAAAAGAACTCCTACAACTCAACAACAACCACAAAAACCAATTCAGAAATGGGCATAGGACTTAAATAGACATTTCTCCAAAGAAGATATGTAAATGACCAAAAGCACCTGAAAAGATGCTCAACATCACTAACCATTAGGAAAATACTAATCAAAACCACAATTAGATGCCACTTTACACTCACTGGGAAGACTACTATCAAAAAAAAAAAACCCCAGAAAATAACACGTGTTGGTGAGGATATAGAGAAATTGGAAGCCTCGTGCGCTGTTGGTGGGACTGTAAAATGATGCAGCTGCTGTGGAAAATAGTATGGCAGTTCCTCAAATAAATAAACATAGACCGGGCACGGTGGCTCAAGCCTGTAATCCCCGCACTCTGGGAGGTTGAGGTGAGAGGATTGCCTGAGACCACAAGTTCAAGACCAGCCTAGGCAACCTGGTGAGACATCATCTCCACAATAAATAAAAAAATTAGCCGGGCATGGTGGCACTGCCTGTAGTTCCAGCTACTTGGAAGGCTGAGGCAGAAGGATCACCTGAGCCCAGTAGGTCGAGGCTGCAGTGACTGTGAGCGTGCCACGGCACTCCAGCCTGAACAACAGAGTGAAATAAATAAATAAACATAGAATTACCCTATAATACAACAGTTCCACTCCTGGGAATATATCCAAAAGAACTGAAAGCAAGGACCCAAACAGATATTTGTACAGCCATGTTCATGACACCATTGTTCACAGTGGCCAAAAGGTAGAAGTTTCACCATAGAGAAATGGATAAGGAAAATGTGAGATTTTATATTCACACACGTACACACACACACACACACACACACACACATACACGCACAATGGAATACCATTTGGCCTTTAAAAAGGAAGGAAATTCTGGCATACATTACAATGTGGGTGAACCTTGAGGACATTAGGTTAAGCAAAATAAGTCAATCACAAAAAGATAAATATTGTATAGTTCCACTTATATTGAATACCTAGTAATACCTTCACAGAGACAGAAAATAAAATGGTGCTTGCCAGGGCATGGAGAGAAATGGAGCATTGTTTAATGAGTATGGAGTTTCATTTTTATAAGATTAAAAGAGTGCTGGGCATTGGTTGCCCAACAATGTGAACGTATTTAATACTACTGAGCTGTACACTTAGAAATGGTTAAGATGATAAATTTCATGTTTTGTGTGTTTAACCATAGTTTTGTTTTGTGCATTTTACCATGCTTTCACCTAAAAAATTGACTTCATAGGGTTGTTGTGAGAATCAATAATAGATGCAAAATATTTATGATTGTGGACCATTCTAAATGTATATTATCATTTAATAAAAGGTTTATACAAAAAATGTGCAGAGTCCTTCTAGCAGTGCCTAAACATTGTGGAATGTGAAGTGTGAACCATGATCACTGCCCTGGACTATGTCTAATTCTCTCGCTGGATGCAAGCCCTCAGGGACCCAGCACAGTGCCCACACACACAATAACAGCTACCACCATCAGTAATCAGAACACATAATGGCAAAATAATAACTAACACTTACAGGGCATTTCCCATGTGCCAGGAACTGTTCTAAGTGCTTTACTTGTATCAGTCCATTCAATTCTCACAGCAAACCTATGAGGAACATACTATTATATTTCCCATTGGACAGACGAGGAAATAGGCCCACAGAGACATGGCATTCAGTGCATCAAATGACTGAGATGACTTATGGTGAGATGTGACAACATCCACTTCTCTGCCTGGAATTGTCTCTCTGTCCCAGCAATGTCCTCCTCATCCTTCCTGACCCAGCTTGGGAACCATCTACCCCCAAATCCATCCCGGATCCTCCTTCCTCCTCCCCATTAACACAGAGCTAATCCTTCTCTCCTCTGTGTTACCCGAGTTCTTATCCATTACAACATTTGCCTTGCTGTCTTATAATTCATCTCTTCTTTGCCTGTGTCTTCTTTGGGACTGAGAGCCCCTTTAGAAAAGAAACATTTATTTTCACACCCCTAGGTTCTGGCACCTACTAGATGCTCAATTAATACTTGTTGGGGGATACGAGAAGGCAAAGCTGAGCATCTGGCTTTTTATTTATCCAAGACAGAAATTTTCTTTGTCAGACCCAGCCACCTTAAGTCATTTTTGGAAGAAAGCAGGGAATACATTCACCAACCAAATGTAGTCTAATTTCCTTGTGAAGAGGTGAATCAACCGCTAGACAGAAAAGCAAGCCGTGTCCGACACATGTTATGACAAGTATTCAATCAATGATCCACCCTTACTTCATATTTATTATTCATCTGGCATTGTTGTGTATGACCTGGCTTACCCAAAGCAGCCTACTTTATTTTCAAAGCATGCTTGCATCCACTGACTCATTTGCTATTTTCAACAACCTAGTGATGTAGGAATTACCATTATCCTTATTTGATGGATGGGGAAACTGAGGCACAGGGCATTGCCAAGGTCTTTCCCCAGGTCCAGACTGAAAGCAGTCATGAATGGTGCTTCCCTCCCAGCATCATGGGCAGGCTAACCCCCAAGTTCATGAAACTTTGTCCCCCAGAAACACTCCCCTGGACAGACAGCCTTAGGTACCCTAAGGGGAGCAGGAGCCTGGCTGAGGTGATCTCACAGAAGACAAGTGTCGGGAATTGGGTAAGAACGTTGAGGAAAAAAGCAGTCTGTAATCAGCTTGACGGACATGGGGCAACCTAGGGAAAGCGGAACATGGTTGTGTTTACAGGAAAGGGCTTAATCCCCGGGTGTGTGTCCCAACAGACCTGGCCAGGCCCATCCCTGAGGCCGAGGAAATGGGCACAGAGCAGGCAGAGCTGGTGGAGAAACCCCCAGGAAGGGGCAGGAGGGAGGCAAGGTGAGGTCAGGCCATGCACTCTTGCTTAGTACTCAAGCCTGTGGAACCAACACTTCTCAGGTGAGACAGGCAGGAAGATTTCCCTGTGGGCCTCAAGGAAGAGTAGCCTGAGTCATATGGACGACAGTCTTCATGCCTCTAGATGCAGCCCCCGGCCCTGTGGGATGGAGCGCAGATCTAGGCTGTCCATTCAATTCTATAGGCCACGATCCTGCATTCCTGGCTCAAACACCAGCTGAGCATCTACAGGGATGCTGAGATCCTGCCTCAGTGGGGGATGCAGAGTGTAAAACACAACCACAGAGCAGCAGAATATATATACCCTTTGACAGGAGAGAGATAAGAGGGAAACGAGGTATAGAAGTCTCCCAGAGCTAGGGAGGGCCCAGTTAAGTCCTGAAAGGCAAGCCTGGCAGATGGCAAGTGTGGGGGGGACGGGAGGCCAGGCTTGGGGAGCACGAGGGCAAATCCTACTTCAGGGCCTGATCTGTGAGAAACAGTGTCAGCTCTCAGGAAGGGTCAGGGAGGAAACCAGACCAAGTCCCTTAAAGGACCCTGCAGTCACCTGCACAGGTGAGCCGTGCAGATCACCTCCCACCATTTTTTCAAAATCCACCGTTTCTATCACAATAAACTCAGGACATGGGTTCCCAGACAATCTGCAGAAAAGATAACCCACTCGAGCCAGAAGGCAGAGGAGACCCATTCCTAGACTCCCTGGGAGAGGGAGACAAAAACAACACAGAGAGAGGGCACGGGCAGATCTCAGTTGGGAGGAGTTGGGGCCATAGGAGGACTCAGATCTGTGAGTCAGAAATCGCCCTGAGTTGGGAGGAACTCCCGCACAAATCATCATGTCGTATTAGTAAAACACAGACCCAACCCTTCTCCCCTCCAGGAAACCTCCCTGGGTTGACTGTCACCCAGGACCCACTTGTCACTCTTCTCATGACAGATGGGTGTGGTTCTGCCAGGCCGGATTGTCAGCTTTGCCCTCGCCTAGGTCTCTGACTCAAACACCAGCTGAGCATCCTGCCTCAGTGGGGATGCTGAGATCCTGCCTCAGTGGGGGATGCTGAGATCCTGCCTCAGTGGGGGATGCAGAGTGTAAAACACAACCACATGCACAAAATCCAGTGCACAATCTCCTCGAAGAATGGTTCCCACCCAACACCTGTGATCCCCATGCCAACCACAGCATCATCTTTGCCTCAATCGCCAGTGCCTGAAACTCCCACCTCATCCTGGGTCCTCCTCTCCCTAGTGTGCTGACCTCCATCTACCTGGTCCTCCATCTACCTGGACAGCCTCCTGCCCACCTGCACAAAAGCCTCCTCCTGGATCTGCTGTCTTCCACGGCCCCCAGGTGGATTCTGAAAGTGCAGAGCTGGTCCCAAGGCCCTCGCCCTTTCCCACGTGAGATCCTGTGACTTAAAAGGTAAAGTTCATATTCCAGTGCTCGGCTTTCAAGGGCTTCCAGAGTCTGGTCCTGACCCACCCAGGAGTACTAAGCTGATTTTGTGTTCTTCCTCTCCATGGACACAAATTTCCAACCAAGCCTCCTGTTGTGCCTGGAGGTGCAATTGGAAGTGCTACTGTTACTCCCTCTGCTTGGAAGGGGTCTCCCCCACCATCTTCATCCCTTCCCAGGTCCAGGCCCGTCTTTGTTCCTGGGTTGATTGGGGTTCTTATTCGAGCAGGGACACCTCCAGAAACAGGGATGTCTATCAACCCTGCCGTGGGGCTCCCATCCCACCTTGTGGTGAGTGGATAATGACAGGAGAGGCCTGGCTTGCTAATCTCCCTGAGAGAAGAGACTCCTCTTTCTCAGACTGAAAACAGCAGTCAGGGCTATGTCTCCCTTCAGACAGGGTCCCTGGAGTCAGGGGTTGTGTCTCCCTTTAGACAGCGAGGTCCCTGGAAGCAAGGACTATGTCTCCCCTCAGACATCCCCTTCCTAGAGGCAGGGGCTATGTCTCCCCCAAGACAGGGTTTCCTGAAGTCAGGGGTGGTATCTTACCTCCTCAGGCAGGGGTTCCTGGAGGGAGGAGCTGTGTTTCCCCCTCAGACAGTGCCTCCCCAGAGACAGGGGTGTATCTTCCCTCAGAAAGTCCCTCCCTAGAAAAAGGGACTGTGTCTCCCCTCAGACAGCCACTCCCTAGAGAAAGGGGCTGTGTCTCCCCTCAGACAGAGGTTCCCCATAGGCAAGGGCTGTGTCTCCCCCTAAGAAAGTGTTCCCTGGAGTGAGGAGTGGTATCTCACCTCCTCAGGCAGGGGTACCTGGAGGTAGGGGTTGAGTTTCCCCCTCAGACAGGGGATCCCCAGAGATAAGGGGAGTGTCTACCCTCAAACAGCCCCTCCCTAGAGACAGGGGTTGTATCCCCCCTCAGACAGGGACTCCCCAGAAACAGGGATTGTGTCTCCCTCAGACAACCCCTTCCTAGAGACAGGGGTTGTGTTTCTCCTCAGACAGGAGTTTCCCAGAGGCAGGGGCTGTGTCCCCTCCCAAGACAGGGTTCCCTGGAGTGAAGGGTGGTATCACACCCCTCAGATAGGGGCTCCCCAGAGACAGGAAATGTGTCTTCTATCCAAAATGAATGACCCTTGTGGTAGGAACCAAATCTCCGTTCTCTGGACCCATGGGTGTTACTTAGAACAATGAACTGACCAACACCCAGAAATATTTATGAAGTTGCTTTATTCTGTCCCACACAGCTGTCCTTTCCACAGACACGTAAATACAGACACAGCTGAGCTGTCCACTCAGCTGCCTATAGCCAGGTCCAGCCTCCTCCTAGAGTCAGGCTCGGCGGGCATGGGGCTCCCTGTCCTCTCTCTAGTAGAGGTTGTGCCGAGCGCAGTGGTAGGCACACAGCTGCCGGTGGTACTGCAGGTGGTAGTCCTTTGCCAGCTTGCCCAAGACATAGAGGAACTCGTCGAAGCAGATCTGGTCGTCTTTGTTCTTGTCTGCCGCCCGGAACAACTCCAAGATGTAGTAGGGCTCCTTCCGGCCCTGAGGAGTAGGCAGAGAGTCACCCACCTACCAGGCCCACAGCCCTCTTGCCAGGTCCCTGCCTTCTGCTGAGAGGGGAAGGGTATCTGTGGCATGGCCCTGCCTGCAAGCGCTTGCAGGAAACAACCCCTCACTCCAATAGACTAGAGCACCACGTGCAGCAAAATCAGGCTGATGAGGCAGAAGCATGGTGGGGGTCTCGAGTCCTGGGACTTGAAGCTGCATCAGTGCAGACAGAGGAGAGAGGTCAGGCACCATTAATGGCTAGCTGTCAGGCCTGGTGCAGTGGTCACCGCCTGTAATCCCAGCACTTTGAGAGGCTGAGGCAGGAGGACTGCTTGAGCCCAGGAGTTTGAGAATAGCCTGGGCAACATAACAAGACCCTCTCCCTAAAAAACTAAAAAAATTAAAAGAAAAAAAACTAGCTGAGACTACAGGCATGGTGGTGCTTGCCCGTAGTCCCAGCTACTCAGGAGGCTGAGTCTGGAGGATCGCCTGACCCTAGAAGGTCAAGGCTGTGGTGAGCCAAGATTGTGCCACTGTACTCCAACCTGGGTGAGAGTGAGACCCTGACTCAAAAAAAAAAAATGGTCAGCTGTCTACAGTGCCTGAACAGTGCTGAACTGCCCAGCGTCCCAGACACACCCCATGTCCACCATCAGCAGCTATTTAAGCCCGTCTTCCCAGCTGAGCCCCAAGCTTCCCAGGAGGAACACCAAGCAAGGCTTCCATAGGTCAGGGAGGTGACTTCCTCCTCCACACTGGGAGCTCCCAAGAGCAGAGCCCAGCTGCCTCCCCCATCTGCATCCCAGCACCATGGTAGGGCCCATGCCCGGGGAAGCAGACATTGCCTAGGAACCATTCATGACACTTCGCCTGTGTCACCTACATAAGGTACAAGATAAGCTAAGGAACAAAGTTACGAGCCTCAGAACTGTCCAGGAGATCCCGGAGCTGGTGGCCTGAATGTGGCCGAGGAGAGGAGAGAGGCATCTGAGGTGGAAGGGACACCATGAAGAAAGTCAGGGGTCACAGCACAGTAAGGGGACAGAATGGGTGGACACTGGGAGCACAGGGCAGGGGCAGGTAAGGTGTGTTTCAGCAAGATGTGGCTGGTGGGCATGGGGAGCCCCGGAAGGCATCTGGGGAAGGAAACCATGGGGCCACAAGCAGCTATGGGCCAGGAGGATGGCCTGCCATTCCTGTGGGCAAGTTTTCGGCCTTTCTCGCCCTCATAGCCACCCACCACCCTGTGTTCCTGTGATCTTATCTCCTCCAAAGAACTGGTTAATCAGAGACCAGCTGGAGGCTTCCTGCCTCGGGCAGCCTCTCCCAGCCTCCTTCGACTCTGCCCAACTTCCCCAGGGCTGCTCCATGAGTGCAGGGCCCAGGCCGTCCTGGCACAGTCTGTTGGTTAGGACAAGGCTTCCTAGAAACAGGACCAACCACAATCACTTCCCACCATCACTCTCTCCTTCAGGGTTGAACTCCAGTGAACGGAGGCAATGCTGTCTCCTCTGTCGCTTCCCAAAGTTAGGCAGGAGAGAGGGGAAGGGACCCAAGGAGAAACTTTTCCTTGAGTGAAATGGCCTTGAGTCGGGGGATGGGCTTGAAGTCCTCTGGAGATGACAGTCTGAAGTGCCCGGGGCATGGGACAGAGGACAGTACCCCACAGACACCCTGTGGGCCTTGCAGTCCCCAGGGAACCCAGTAATCACCCCTCTGGGCCTGATGACAAGAAGGTGGGCAGAATCTGAGAGGCGTAATCTGAGCCTGGCCACTGGGGCTGGGCCCATCCAGGTCTGAGAGACTCTGGAGACAGGAGGTGGAAGTAGAAGTGACATTTCCCCACCCTACTCCCATCCCGGTGAGGGCAGCCATCGTGCCTACATTTCTCTCCCCCAGGCAGGGTGGCAGGAGGGCCTGGCTTGTGCCAGCCCAGAAGGGGCTGAGCTCAAAGGGCTCGGTGAGGTGGCACTGCTGCCCTGATGGGCCCGTGAGCAGAGAGAGGGTTTAGGACTGGTACTTAGGAGGCCGGTTTGGCAGAGGAATGAACAGGTTGGGGGTAGGACTGAGTTTCAGGGATTAGCTGTGCCTGGGCTGGAGAAGGGCAAGGCAGGGAGTTCCAGGAGAGGGAAAGACACAAAGCTGGGCTGGGGCCACAGACCCTGTGCCCCACACTCCCGTAATCCTCCCCTCACCCAAATTAAAGATTCCCATGGGAGACAGCTCCCTCCAACTGACACCCTCACTGCTCACTTCCCACCCCAGAATCCACCCTATATAGGTGCCTAGTCCCCACTTCATCCCCCACCCTGACCCCAGACCCCACGCACCAAGCCCTCCATGAAGCGGGGCACGTTGTCCAAGAGCAGCGCCTTCAGCTCCTTCAGGGACAGGGTCTCCACGTCCCCTTCCCGGGCTGCATACTGGTGGAAGCAATGGATGATTTGGAAGAGGGATTCCTCCACTGGTGTGTCCGTCATGATGGCTGGGCCCCTGCCTGGGGCAGGGGGCAGATGGGGGGCAGGGGTGGAGCAGCTGGGGACAGTGGAGAATCTGAGGAGAGAACTGCACTTCATCTAGGCTCACGCACAGCATATGAGTGCTTCCTCCCAAAACCTTCTGCCCTCTTGTTCCTGCCCACATTCCCAAGCTATGTCTCCGGTCCCTGAAGTCCCTGCACTCTGTCTGACCCTTTGCAAACTTGACTCAAAATCACTGCTCTGCAAGAAGCTTTCCTGCAAAATCTCAAGACAGGGCTCTGTCCCTCTGTCCCTTCACTGAGACTGGGAGCCACCCCCCCCCCAGACACAGAAGCTGTGTCCTCCCTCCCTGTGACCTATCTCAGT